ATATAAGTGCAAATGACAAGTCTCGGTTAGCCTAACGCAGTACACGTAGCAAGGTGTGTATATAATATATATATAAATATTATACACACACACACATATACACACACACGCACAAAGAAAAACAAGTAGATAGAATAGAAAAAATAGAAAGCTAGTGTTTGTTTGTTTTTTGTTGTTTTTTTTTAAATAAAAAAATAAAAAAAGATAAATATAGATAAAGTAGAATTAAAATAGAATAGAAAGTGCTAGAGTTAGAGGGTCAAATAAAGGTGATATGAAAATCCTGGAATGAAAATCCTGGAATCGCCCCTGGCTTAGTACTATTTGAAGTTATCCTAACAGGAGTAAAAGTGCAGTTTTCACTGACTTTGCAAAACGGTGAGCCATTCTAAAGGCACTGAAACCCTCCTACAGCAGGTTGTCCAGATGAAGGTCAATAGCTGCCATAGCAAGAAAAATTAGTTGTTCCAAATCTGCGATTTCTAGAATATTGCATCTTTACAATGTCACTATCTCATTCAAGTCCCTCAAAAAGGCTGGTTGTCCATGAAAGACAAATGCACGAGAAAACAGGATAATGCGGAGAATCTCAATGGGGAATCGGTTCAACACTGCAGCTGGAATTGCTCGCCAGTTCAGCACTGAACAGGGTAAGGATCTGTCTCAGCATACAGTGTCTTTACATTTAAGAGAATGTGGACTGAAAGTACACTCTGCAGTGAGCAAATCTCTCATCAGCAGAAAGAATCAAAAGGCTAGATTAGAGGAGCATGTTGTGTGGACAGAGGAAAACTGTTCCAAAATTCACTTCAGTGATGAAAGCAAGTTAAATTTATTTGGGTCCAATGCGAAACATTATGTTCATCAAACTGGGGAAAGACTGAACCCAAAGTGTGTAAAGAAGTCAGTTGCGGCGCAGAGCGATAGGACAAGGTGTGTTTATCGATAGATTGTTATAATATCTGCAATATAATACAGTTTACAAAATATCATGGGGGAGCAATCGGTTCCCCATCTACTGTAGCCTAAGTTTTCACTGCGTTAACCCCTCATCGCACATTCCTCCAACGAAAATGAAGCACATATTTATTTATTTATTTAGTCATTTAGCAGACGCTCGGTTAGCCTAACGCAGTGCTCGTAGCAAGGTGTATACACACACACACACACACACACACACACACATATATATATATATATATATACATACATACATACATACATACATACATACATATACATACATACACATACGGAATTTATTATTTGAATATTGTAAAAAAAAGTTCAGAATTTGAAATCTGAGACTTTGTTTCATATCAAAAGAAACAATGCACATAGTTTATTGCGATTTATTTTTATGGGAGGCATACTACAATGTTTGTTCAATAAATGAAAACAGGCTAGACTAATAGATTCTTGGGATTTAAGAATTGATTCAAATCGAAAAATCGATATATATATATATATATATATATATATTTATATATATATTCTCCACAAACATGGAAAACAGCAATAACGGCATTTACCACAAAGACGTCGCTGCTGCCGGTGCAAATGCAACCAGGAAAACGAGGGAGAAATTGGTTCTATAGGAACGACCCTGCTAGCTAGTTCCTAGAACGGTGTGAAAACCCCTTTATACAGCTACAAGGCAGAGTGAATGCAAATGTTTCTCAGAACCTCCTCCAGCAACATGCGGTACCTTCCCTGCAAGCATCTCCCAATCAGTCAGCAATTTTCATGCAAGACAATACTCCTGTCAAACTGCAAAACTGGTAAAGCAGTTCCTTGAAGCTAAACACATTGAAATAATGAAATGGCCAGCAGTCTTGATCTAAACCCGATTGAAAATCTCTGGAAAATCCTTAGCAACAAATTTATGTCTAAGAAAACCAGAGGAGTGTGAGAAACTAGTGATGTCCTGTGGCTGTAGATGTGCTGAAGTCATTATAAGCAAGGGCCTGTACACTTCCCACTAATTTTTGACTGCTGTAACCTTCAGACATTTTAGTTGTAATCTTTCTTTGTGCTACAGCTGTTCTCTAATTTTGATCACTGTGTTTTCCACAAAATAAAGGGTTTTTGTTGAAGTGTCTTGGTTATTTTGTAAAACACTAGGATGAATCTGAAACAATTGCTGAAGCACTAAACTTGATTAATAACTTTTTTGTTGTGATTTTATAGAAGAAACATAATACATAAACACACGTTAATATGGTAAATTATACATTTATTCAGAAAAAGCAAGTTGTTAGTAGCTTTTATCTTATACTAACAAATGTAAATAATAGCTGATATAAATACAGGAATGACACACATTGTGTTTAAAAAAGATTTAACATTTTTTTGCAAAATTATAATATTTTAGCACAAAAAGTAACTATGAGCAGTTAGCAATACAAATAAATATGAATTACATGTGTTGGTTTACAAACATCAGTTTAAAAGTAGCTGAATATAAAAAAGATGACAAAAAAACAAAACAACGTCAGCTCATAGTATGCTACATATCTACTCACTACTGCGATGGCAGTACAACACACCATTCTTTGGAAGAGGCTGCTTCCTCTAAGACAACCTTAACAATTAAACTCATCCAAAACATGTGGCAACTTTAACCAACGCTTCTAAACAGTCTCCAGCACATTCTCTTAAACTAATTTGACCAATTTGCTTCTTTCCAAGATGCCAGTCCAAAGAATTGATTGACATCTTTAATGAAGCAGTAGGCTTCAGTAGGGATGGTCATGTCAGCTTGAATCAGTAAGATCAGTTCATTATGTTAGGATTGGGTTTGAATAATCATTATTTTGAATTGCAAGTTAATTTGAGAACAATTCCCAGTTATAAAATGTCATATACAAGTGTGATATACAAAACTGATACTTAAAATAGTTTGTAATAGTTTGTAATAAGTTATCACTACTATACAAACTCTTCTCAATTCTGTGATGTCCATATCAAGACCTTGAATTCTAACATGACCCATTCTCACTCAGAATTATGAATGAGAAGGCACTGTCTTGTTTACTGTCAAACTGATCTTCTTTATGCATGTACAATTCGTTATTATCTACCCTTTCTGTGTAGATAAACCATCCTCTGTAAAGAGCTGACTCAAAACGCCGGAGATTGTCTCGCCCACAAGACATGTAAAATACAAGGGACCATTTTTCTCGGTCATCAGGACAGATGCTTTTCAGGTGCTTTTTATTACAGTTCTGCAAACGAACAAAACAAGTCTAGTTTCAGCTTAAAGGAACAGTTCACCTATAAGAATAGTGCATAAATCATACTTATAAAAAAACTAAAAAACTTTCCAAACTATATTGGACCTCATTGATTTTCACTTGACTTGAAAATAATAACAATAATAATAATAAAAAAAGACATAAAAAAGTGTTCCAAAAAAAGTATAAAAAGTACATTCCTTTAAATTTAGGTGCCAAGATGCATAAAAAAAAAACAAATAAAATAAAATAAAAATAAACTTACCATGACTGTCAAAATCTTCTTATCTTCACCTTGTTTGGTGGTACAGCAGAAGAAGTTTTCTGTGCCACTGAAGTTCAGTACAACAGGAACACCTTCACAGCCCTTGGTGATAGTATAATAGTAGAGGGTGATTTTTGCTGAAACAAAAAGTATTGCAAAATATATTTCAAAATGTACTTGAATCAAATCAAAACAAAGAATGATAGTTCAGTTATTTAACTTACTTCTAAATAAACTTTTAATTTGATTGCAAATTTTTTTTTTTACAAAATTATATTATTATATAATTTATATATACATATATATATATATATATATAGGTATCGGCGTTTGGTATGGGGCATTTTAACGAGTACGAGTACGAGTACAGGAGACCAGTATCGTATCGGTATCGGTGCATCCCTATTTATTACCAACCTGACATGGTGTCTTTCAAAAGCATATGCTGATTCTCTGGGGTGACATACTTTTCCATCAAGGAACTCTTAATGAACAAATTCTTTTGCTCTCTAATCCGCATCAAAATCCTTGAAGAATCTGACAAAACAGAGGAAAAATACGTTTTATGGACATCAGTTATAACGTTTAAGAACTTGAATTGTATTGTCAACGAATGCAACATTTGTTTCTTACTAAAGGTAATCTCAGCTGTCGCAGGCAGGACAACAACGTCATTAAATTGGCAATTCATCCCTCCACAGCTGTTGCAAGGGCTGTCAGGATCACAGCCCCGAGCAACGACCACACTGAAGCTTGTCTCAGCCATGGAGACAAGCAGAAGATTGTCTTTACTGAAACAGTCATCCTCAATGTCCTTGTCTTCCCACTCTGGCGATGGTTGAACTCCAGTGGCTTCCAGATCTTCCTCTCTTACCATCATCACGCTGAATCTCATGACTGTCGGCTCCTCCTTTTTACGCACATTGATTTCCTCAGATTCACATTCTTTGGTTTTCCTTTTGGGTGAATGATGTATGGTCTAAGAGAGGAGATTTAAGACCTCAGCACAGTTAATGTAAATCAAATCACACTAGCTCAGGCAGATGTTTTACTCCTCAAGCAGTTAATCAAAAACAAACCATGATGATGTAATCTCTGGAATTTAATGTTTTAAACACCCACACACATGTCCATGTGATCAATCAAAGTTTCCTGACTAGGCAAAAAAGCCCCTGTGAAAACTTCAGTTTCACTTCTCTCTTACATTTCATTGAACTGAGTAAGTGCATATGAGTGCATTAGTGTGTCAATAAATACAAAACTCACAAGTAAGGGAGACTCTTCAATCAGCAGCTCAGCAAATGCCTGTGGAGTCAAAACCTCTACATCTGTGTTGTTTATCATTATAACTTTATCTCCCTTGCTGAAAAAGATCAGATATAGATGAATGAACAGACAGCCAGATAGTTACACAGTTGAAGATAGATAGATGGACGGACGGACGGACGGACGGACGGACAGACAGACAGACAGACAGATAGATAGATAGATAGATAGAGTCTCACCTCGCGAATTTTCCTTTGTTATAGTTAAAAAAGCCATTCACTTCATACGAGTGTTTCCCTTCACGTTCAGTGTGGAGCAACATAACACCACCACAAACAGGATTTCCCTAGAAGACATCACACATTAAATGTTTTCAACTGGATACATTTATCAAATAACATAGATGTTGATCTACATCTGCATACAACGAAACACTGCATACCTCAGCTGCCATGATGATCTCAGTGCCGATTATGAGGCTGCGTGTGTCCAGACTCTAAAACACTGCCTTTTGAAAGCCAGTAGACCTGATGATGCAGTAGGAAGAGGAAGCTACATTTGATGTCACTGAACCAGTGTCAGCGTTGGTTGGAAAAGAAGAAGTATAGACTTGTAGGGGAAGGACATCAAAGTGTAATCACAAAGATGGGAAAAGGTAGTAAAATAATTCTAAACTGACAGCTCTCTTTGAGATTATCTGTGCCAAACAATATGACCACACTGCACATGCTGCTCATCTCTCTTGAATCTGAAAGGCAAACCATTGTTTGCAAACTGGGGCACAAAGCTGACCTTTTGACAGGAAACGTTCTCTTTATTTAGGTTGGTGAACTGATCTTTTAATGTATACCTTCACATATAGTGTTTTCACATATAGTTTGATTTAAAAGAACCAAACCTAGTTCACTTAAAGTGAACCAGAAAGCAAACTAGCTGAAAGTGACATCAGTTCTTTTTGGTGTTCACAATATAGCGGATTCAAAAGAGAACCTGGTTCTTTTTTTTTTTTTTTGGTCCTCTTCAGCATGGAAGTGATCTCAGACCCTTTCTTGTTCACACCACAAATTCATAAGAACCTTCTGTGCAGCATTGGAATGCTGGAGTTTGACCAACTGGAAAATTGGAAAGACGAAGTGGACAGGGAAGGTGGTGAGGAAGATCTGGCAATCCCTGATCATGACATTTGCAGAGCTTTAACAATGCATTTCAGTCAAATTTAAAATTAAAAGGAAACATTATGTATAAAGTTAATTCAGCTTCCTTTTTTCCTCAGATAAGATTAAGGGTATTAAAATATTTCTTTGCTCCTGGCAGGTATAAATTAAAACCGTTTAATGCACAGGTAGTTCCAAGTCAGTTTAATCACCGTTCCATATTAATGCGCTGCTTTCATTGACACACATGCTCATATGCGCATCACTCGCACACAGAGATCGGAGATCACGCAGTGCACACATAGAAACATTCAGGAGCACAGAAACATGTTGTCAACGCTGCCCCGCAACTTTTTATTAATATAATAGCTTTGATACTTAATCACTACATTATATTCCTCAGCGACTTGGGGGTAAAATTGCTATATTTAAAGTAACTAAACTCACAGCTTCACTGTTTGCAGAGTGATGCACAGATGCAATTCACATACGCAACTTTCATCCCTCTCTCTCTCTCTCTCTCGATAATTAATTCAAATCAATCATATAATTCATACATTCAAATAAAATTGATTTACCACAGTACTTCATCTCTGTGTCTGATTTAAAGCGGGCAGAATGCCCTCGGAGGTGCTAGTAGCTGGTAAGCACCCTCAATTGAAGCTTTAATAATAACATTTAATGTAACCAATCACCGACATATCTGTTGATTTCACGAACGCAATGACCAATCAGAGGCGTTAAAAGTTAAAATTCCACTTACTGTTTTTGTCCCGTGCTGAGTATTGTACACTCGTGAATCCTCTCATTATAACAAATACAATGTAAATAAGAGATTCATTGTGTAGTGTACAAAGGTAATTATAAAGGGAGCGCTCTTTGCGCAATAGCAATGGATGTATTTTGACAAAATATATATATCTGTTGATTTCATGAACGCAATGACCAATCAGAGGCGTTAAAAGTTAAAATTCCACTTACTGTTTTTGTCCCGTGCTGAGTATTGTACACTCGTGAATCCTCTCATTATAACAAATACAATGTAAATAAGAGATTCATTGTGTAGTGTACAAAGGTAATTATAAAGGGAGCGCTCTTTGCGCAATAGCAATGGATGTATTTTGACAAAATATATGTCAAAATATATTAGCATTAAGGTTAGAGCTCTCACTATTTTCAGAAGCACCCTTAGTGATTTGATTCTGGAACCAGACCTGCCTCACTGTCATAATATAGCCTACAGTAGCTGTCTATTATAAACTGGGGCGATTTTTAACTTATAATAATTCAACTTCTGGATAATTACATCATGTAATTTGTGTGTTTAATTTATGAGAGTGGCATATTTGATCAAAATGTGTAAATATAAAGCATTCTGTTTACTTCATCACTGTCACGCAGTAGAGTGTGTGCGGTCCAGAATGTGCAATGCTGCACACATAATTACGCCATTTACTGTTTATAAATTCTGATATGTTCATGACAAGGTTAATAGATCAGGCCTGTCTGACGTGTGCAAATGTATTTTGTGTTACATGAATGAATTAAATTATAAAGATGGGTTGGAGAAGCTTTTACTTTGCATTATAAGCCTTCTGCATGTTATATTTTTTCATCGGCTTTCAAAAAGTGGTGGGGACATAATCGACTTTGGCAAAAAGTGGTGGAGACATGTCCCACTTGAAAATTACACCTATGTCTGAACTGAGAGCATTTGGAGGGCTCAAACAAACTAGGTGTGAAAACACCAGCCTTCCTTTCAGAATCACCACAAAGTTTTATTGTTTCTTTCCACCGTGCAGTGCACAAAACCTATTTCACAGCAAACACAGATAGTGAAAGTGACCTAAATAGACATATTTAATACTTTGAGGAAATAAGAAAATGAGGTTACACATGCAGAACAGTACACGTTTACACTCCCGAAACATGATCGTATACCGTACTTCCTCATGTAAGGTAATATTAACAAAAGAAGAGGAAACTGGCTGCAGGGGAAGAGGCACTTTGTGTGGATGAATGTAACTGTTAACCTCAAATTATTTTTTTTTTTAACTTTGTCAATAGCAAGGCATTCATAAACACTTGACATCCATCCACAAACAAACAGTATATAGACATAGTACATTTCCAAGGAAAAAGTACTTTTATTTAATATGGTATTTAATATCCTCACACAAAGCTAAGGTGCATGGTTTGGTTTTATAGTAGTCTATGGTGCTTTTTTCCCCTTTTTTTCCACTGTCCATGTATGAAAAAAAGAGCTGTATGAAGATTCCTCAACATTCTCCTTTTGTGTTCCATAGAAAAAATTAATTCTTTTGGGTTTGGAACAACATAAGGGTGAACAACTAAACAGAATTTCTCAGCTATTCCTGTAAATTACATATTTTATTTTACAATGATGGCTTTACTAGCAAGGTTCGTACATATGTTATTTTGATACTGTGGTTTCCTGTCAACAAGTCACCACACAGTTTTACGCCATTCTACACACCCACATACATGATTGCCAAAATTATACCAGACGGCCTGCATGGCCCTTTACACTCAAACCAGAGTGTAAAATGTTCATAAACATCCTCAACACCTTTACACATGTTTACACAAACATGACACGTCTGAAGAGCCTATACAGCCACGCTTGAGGTTAACACTCGTACAGAAACTTACTCAACCAGTTTGACACATCAAAACAGAGGGTGCTCTCTGACCTCTCAGACAACATCTATACAAAACAAGCAAATATATCTATATCTTTAGGTGCAGACTCTTTCAGCAATTCTGAGAGTCATCGTGGCATTTAATAATAAAACAACACTGTGTTGACTTTATGTACTGAGTACTTGTACCATAGTTTTATAAGCAATGTTTCTGATATAGGCTATTTTTATTAACTGCATGCTTATCTAATGACAACTCCAGTCCCATATTTGAAACTGAAGCTATTTTTGATAGTTGCACTGAATGAGAAAACAATTAACGAGCTTCCACCACCCTGATTTGTACAAACATTTCCTGCTTGTCACTCTACAAAGCTACGAGTATCCTGTTAAACTGCCCACTGCTGAACTATTTATGGAGAGGCAAAAGAGACAAAAAAGACATCAGATACGCAATTTAAATGTACATATACAATACAATACAAATATTTTAATTTATAAGCACTTATACAAGTGGCATGTCCTCATAAGAGCAAACCTTTGAATAAAAAAGGTCAAAGTCACCCACAGAGTGACATCAGCGCTACATATTTCCCTGAAGTTATATCATAAACGTGATATGTCACTCACAGAATGAGTATCACCCAGCAGATTTTACTTTTATTTTTGGTTGAATGCAATTAATTACTCATTTCTGTTACTAAAAGCATCAGTATGTGTGTTTTAAATAGTGTGCAGGTGTTTCTGAGTGTGAGTAAAAACAATAGAGAATATGACTATGAAACAGATGAAGGAGTAAACAAACTTGCCACAAAGCGTCTTTCTGTCAGGGTTCACAGTTCTGAGGTAATACTATGCTCTCTCCTTCAGTCTCAGTATTAATCATCATCATGCTTTTGGGGCGAGCAGGAAGGTGATGTAATGTGATGTATGTGTGCTCAAACCAAAACAAGAAGAAAAAAAAAAAAAAAAATCCCATCAGTGGGAGGAATAGTTCACTCCAAAAATAAAAAATTTGCTGAAAATTTATTTACTCTCAGGCTTTCCAAAATGTAGACTGCTTCTTCATCAGAACAGATTTAGAGAAATTTACCATTAAATCACTTGCTCATCAATGGATCCTCTGCAGTGAATGGGTGCCGCCAGAATGAAAGTTCAAACAGCTGATAAAAACATCCCAATAATCCACAAGTAATCCACACGACTACAGTCCAGCAATTAATGTCTTGGAAAGTAAAAATCCATCGTTTTTTTTTTTTTTTTTAGTTCAAACAAGTCCTCGATCCATTGTATTACTTTCTTCAATGAAAAAGTCATCTCATCTGAATCAGGAGAGAAATATGCAGAGATCACCATTTACATACAAAAACAAGGACATCAATTTTACATCTTCACGTCCCTAAACATGATGCTGAGCAAGACTACACTTTCTGTAACATGGAGCTCAGCCTCAGGCCAAAACGTAACAAAATAAAATAAAAATGGCATATCCGTTTTTACTGGATATGAATGAATGGTGGGAGAAAGGTAGAAGGTAGGTTTAAAAATTTGATGAGAAAGAGGTAGAAAGTGGTTAGCAGATAAATGTTTAATGAGAATGGAGAAATAAAATGAAACAATAAAAATAAAACAACAAAAATAAAATAAAACAACAGACTGGGCTAACAACCCCCAAAACACAGTGACGAATAAGTTGGACATGTCC